AGGTTTTACACAACAGCAATGGCATTAAAAGTTGTTGTATACCATGGATTGGTAAAGAGTATAAACAAAGAAATTGCAGAAAAAACTAATAAAAAATGTTCGGATGAAAATAACAATAATATCAACTACCAAAAAGAAAACAAAAAATAAAAATAGAAATAGTGTTTAAAAACAGAAGAAATAGAAATGAGTGATAACACCATATAGAACTTTGTTAGCTCTCTATTTAGATATGTGGTTGTCAACCAAAAGGATTGACAATTGAATGGTATGAAGTATATCAGAAAATGACTATAACTATAATAATGATATTGACCATGACTATATAGATGAAATTACAATAATAGAAATAGTGGTAGAAACAATAAGCAAAGGTAGTATAATGTTTGTGGAAGTTATAAAAGAAGAAGTTGAAAAATCAAAAAAGAATAAAATAGATGAATGAAAAACGCTTAAAAGGGTAATTCATTTCTTTAAAAAAATATTTAATTCAGAATCAGATACATGGATTTTATTTATAAATCAAACTAATTGGATAAGTGTGTATTTTATTTTTTTATTAATCCAATTAGCATTTATATAATTATAAATTATAAATTACAATATAGAAAGTAAAATATAAAATGGAAGAAAAATCTTCTTTGAAAATAACTATTATTATTTTATTATTTTCTTTTAATGAAAAAAGAAATTCATCTTTTTATATTTAGATATATGTTTTCTTGTTATTTATTGTTTTGAGTAATAACGAATAATTTCATTTCTCTATTTCTTATCTTTATCAATTTTTATTCTTTATCAACTTCATACTTTTATTCACTTAACATAAATACATCTTGTTGTAATTAGTTAATTAATAAATTAAAATGATTTTATCATTCTATTCTATTACATTTAAATGAATTGAAATGTTGTTAATTACTCATTATTTATTTAATTATTGTAATGTTCAAAATAATTTCTTCATTTAAAATAATGTTTGAACAAATTTATTTTATGATTATTAAATATTAAATAAATTATTATTTCATATAATGCATTGAAAATATTGAATTGTAATAAAAGAAAAAAGATAAAGATAAATAAATCAATGTAAATGAAAAATAAAGAAATGAATTGTATTTAATGAATTTAATAAAATAAAATATTGTTATTTCTAAACTATAAATTTCTGAGTCATTAATAATGATTTATTAAATATGAAACAAGGTATTAACATCATTAATAAATGATTTAATTATCATTTAATACATTTTCTTGTTTTACATATTCTTAATATCAAATAATATACAATGAATCAATATTAGTTATAATAAAAATTTCAATATTCATTCTGTTTTATCATCATTTTGTATTGTTTTTACATATAAATTAATATTTAATGTTGATGAGATATGTTTCAATGAGTGTGAATGTAAATATTCAATAAAAATATATTTGTCTGATTATAGAATCACAAAACAATGAAGACCATTATCATCAGAAGTACGTTGATGAAATATATATTGTGATTATGATTTATCTATTCTGAATTTATAATACATTGTATAACATTTGATAGTTTATTCTCAATAAATATCATAATTTATTATTATATTCCATTCTTATTGAACACCATTCAATTCATTTAATATATATTTATGTTGTAATGTTAAAGAAAATCATTAAATACATTATTGTTAAATGAGTTAGTTGTCGTTAGGATAAACATCAAAAATTAGTAATAAAAATGAATAACTTTGAATGAAGCGTTGATATTTCATTATTTAATATGTTATCACAATATTAATATTCATTATTATATTAATAATACATTTCAATCATTTGCTTCTGTATTATTTATTCAATTAGAAAGCAGAATGAACCATATGAATTTAACTAATGAAGTACAATTTCATCATTCATTTTTTTTCAAAACGTAGACAATTCTGATTATGAAATAGACAATAAACATTTGAATATCAATAAATGTTTATGTATAATTTTAATTGACACAATTAACAATTCATCTGATAATGCTCATTTCATTAAACAATAAACATGAAGAATATATTTAGCAACACAAATTAAACCAATGACAAATATCATAAAAACAATAGATTTAAATATTAAACATCAATTAATTAAATCCTCTTTTAAACACTATATATTTTGTATTATCAAAATGTATAATCAAAAATATGAAAGTAAGTGTCGATTTAAATTATACAACAAGAATGAACGATGAAAAATTTAAAATAGTACCATCTCATACTTTCATCAATTAACACAATTAAACAATAAAATGAAATAATTCACAAACATGAAATATAATAAATTAAAGTCTGATTTATTTATAAATACTTGTTATTAAACAAAATAAAATAAACATACATACTAACATAAAAACAAAAGAATAAAAAAATAAAAAGATTATCTTCATTTTATTTTATTGATTAAATAAAAATAATATAACAATAAAATACAATAACATAATTTAAAAGAAGAAAAATGAAACAATATATTTTATTGAATTTAAATTAAATATTCATTATCATTACAACATTTTTATTATTTTATTTATAATATTAGCATTAACTAGATCTCAGTCAACTACTGTAATTATTTCAATATGACAAAAACGACATATTCATTTCCCTTATTTATTTTGATTTATATAATTATTTCCATAACATTGAATAATCATTTTTAATTGTTTGAGTGAAATTATTTTTATGCTTTGTGATATTTTAAAATTCCTTTTTTATCAAAAACACACGAATAAACATTTTATTAGGAATATTATTATGACTGAATGATTATTCTTGTATTTTTTTTCAACACAATAAACTAAACCTTTTTATAAATTTTTGTTATTCTTTGATTATGAACAATTGCTTTATTTTGTATTTACATTGTTCTTAATCAGTTTAATGATTTTATTTCTTTTGATTACTTGTTTTTTTTCTCTCCATCATGAAGAATAATTATATATGTAAATTAAGATTTATAAAACTTCTTTCATTGAAATTAACCTCTAACTTCAATTGTGATGTTACAGAAAAATAATACTTCAAAACTGTTATTTATCCTATTAATTATGCCGTTATACTGACTTTTAAAGTGAATAATTTATTATAATTTCAAACAAAAATATGACTAATATATTTTATAAAATAAATTTCATAAATTACTCTTTTTAAACACAAACAACGAAATAACATTCATTAAAATGTAAAAAATTATAATTAATTTTAGACATATTGAATTATTATTGGAAATACTTTTTATAAATAATTTAAGAAGAAAATAACTAAGTAATATTGGATACACATTAGTCCTACATATTTTATTCATTTATTATTCACTTGTCATTTTGATATTCATTTAAGATTATTCAATTTTAGTTAAACTTTAATTTATTATGTAAAAATTAGACTATAAATAAGATATTCTAATATGCCAAATTAATTCAATTTTGTAGATGTTATCCACTGTTTATATATTCAACTTAAAATAAAAATTATTTAAGAATATTATAATAAAACTTCAAGAAAAATATGACAAAAAAAAACTACAATAAAGCTAAATTAAAAGAGTCAAGTATTTTGAATATTTCTTATTATTTAATATAAGATAATCATTAAAATTAAAAGTAATTTAATGATAACAAGAAATACAAATTTATTCGTACTTCCAAAATAACCTTTATAATTGAAATTTATTTTTTGTAAATAATAAAGATGATTTAAATGAATTTATTTTGGATATTTTTATAAAAGAATGGAATTTGAATTTGACATATTTTCTGTTATTCATTTTTTATAATTTATTAATAAAAAGTTGAGAAGTATCATTTTGATAAATAGTTGTTAATTTATTTTTTACTTCTTCAGAGTATTTAATAGTTTTACAACCTTCATTTTCTAATTGATTGATATGTTTCCAACACCAACAACCGTCATGACATCCACATAATCCAGGAATACATGAAATATGATTACAACAACAATGAACTTTAGAGCATTGACATGGATAAAGACGTGTAATACTTTCAGTGAAATAATAACAAGTAAAATAACAAGGACAAGAAGTAATACATCTTCCAGTTTTATAACAAGTACATTGTGGACTACATTTATGATCTTCATTACAACACAAATGTTGAAGATGAGTACAGACATGATGATGTAAAATATTTTCATTAAAATCATGATAAAGAAGTTCAATTAATTGATTAAGAGTTAAATTACCTAATTGTTTTCTAAGAATATTTAATTTAGAATAAAGAATTTTATTAACACGAACTCTCGTAGTTGTTTCTTCATAAACAAGTCTACTTGTTGGTTTCATAAAAAAATAAGAAATTGAAGGGTTTTTTTAAGAGATGAATCAAAACAAAATACAAAAAAACAAAAATAAAAAAATTGAAATTAATTTTTAAGACTTCCCATTTTCAATATATTTGCTATTTCTGAATCTCCACATTCAATTGATAAATCACTTGATTTTGGAATTGATTCAAGTCTTTTTATTAATAATTCATTTATTAAATTACCTCTTTCTTCAATAAATTCTTTATCAAATGTAAAATTATTATATTTAATTTTTCTTGCAGTTTCTTTTTGATTTCCTTTATTTCCAGTAGTTTTTTTTGATTCAATTTCAAATCCAACATCTCTTAATAAATTCATTAATATATGAAGTTGTTCTGATACTCTATAGACTTCTTGTCTTCTTGTTGCTGTTTTTTCACTACATCCATGTGCAATGTCTTCATCATGAAGTTGTTGTAATTTAGTTGACATAATTTCTTTTATTTCAACAACTTCTTTTTCAGTAGAAATACGAATTACATTAAAAAATGGTAATGTAATTTTACTTCTTTTTCTTGGATGGTCAATAACAATAGTATAAACCATACTTAATAATGCAATAAAAACTGACTGTTGTTCGGTTTGATAATTTCTTGTCTTTCTAAATCCTGCTGTTTTAGGATCATCAAAAAGAGACCCTGACGTTAATAAATCTAATTTATCTTCTTCTTCTTCATGATGTCCTTCAAGTGGATGTTCTTCTTCATGACGTTGTTCATCTGGTTGTGCTGCTTCCATTTGATGTTCTTCAACTTGATTCTCTCCTAAAAGCATTACATTCTCTGGTTGATGGTTAGTCGTCACTGCATTATTTTCACTGAGATTTTGTTGTTCTGTGGGAGCATCTATCACATTCATTATTTGGATATTCACTTCTTTTGCTTCTGTCATTGCTTTTTAAAACAATTTTGATCTCATTTTCTTTTTTTGTCTTTCTTTTTGGTTTTTCTCTTTTTGTGAAATTTTCTGAAACACATTTTAACCCTTTTTTGTTTTTTATTTTGCTTTTTTTTTTTTAAATATTTATACAAATATTTTATTTTAAATAAATTATTTATTCAATCAATTACTTCTTTTGTAGTATCAAAGTTAATTATCAGTAGTTTCTTTATTGTAAATATCATTGTATTATTTTAAATTTTATATTTTTTTAAATAAAGAATATTTGAATGTATTAGCATTTTTATGATTATTGAGTTATTTATGAATATAAATTATTATTATTGTGTGTTTTTGTTTGTATTGATTTTAATATTTATTAAATTGGTTTTAGATTTTGTTTGTTCATTTATTTTTAATAATTTATTTAGATTAATGCTTATTATTTATATTTTAATTATAATTTATTTGATGTTTTATTTATTTCTTTTCGTTTATTAGTATACAAGAATATTATTCAAATCCAATTGAATTAATAAAACAATACAACATTATATAGAATATCATTCATCAATATTGTATTATAAATATAATAATTGCATTATTCTAATATCATTAATTCGC